ACCATGCCCGGCTAATTTTTTTTATTTATTGTAGAGATGAGGTCTCACCAAGTTGCCCAAGCGGGTCTCGAACCCACGGGCTCAGGTAATCCACTTACCTCAGCCTCCCAAGGTGCAGGATTACTGGCTGAACCACCAAGCCTGGCTACAAGACAGTTTCTTGACTCAAGGGCTAAACTAATGATCATGAGACCAACATTTAGGTTTGTCTGAATTTTTCCTCTCACAATGTGTCAGTTACTCAACTAATTACCAATCAGTTAGCAAACATATGAGTACTTACCTATCTCAAACCAGGTTTTCATCTGTGAGACAATTAAGGGGTCTATTTGGAACCCTCACACACAGAGTTAATATAAAATGGCAGGCCGGGCGTGGTGACTCACGCCTGTAATCCTAGCACTTTGGGAGGCTGAGGTGAGAGGCTTGCCTGAGCCCAGGGGTTTGAGACCAGCCTGGGCAGCTTGACAAGACCCTCTCTCTACAATCAATCAAAAAATTAGCCAGGCGTGATGGCACTTGCCTGTAGTTCTGGCTACTTGGAAGGCTGAGGTGGAAGAATCGCCTGAGCCCAGCAGGTGAAGGTGACAGTGACCGTGAGTGTGCCACTGCACTCCAGCCTGGGAACCAGAGTGAGACTCTGACTCAAAAAAAAGTGGCAGAACGTAGATTATTGGTTACCTCCGGGTTGGAGACTGAGGGTCAGTGAAGAGTGACTGCTAGTAGGTATGGGCGACTAAAGTTTTCAAAAACTGGTTGTGGTAACGCGGGCACAGCTTCGTGCTATACCAAGATTGAATTATACACTTTAAATGGGTGAACTGTATGGTATGTAAATTACATCTCCATAAAGCTGCTTTTGTTAAAAGGTAGTTTATTATTTTTTTGTTTGGGTTAGAGCCTCACTCTGTGACCCAGGCGGGAGCGCAGTGGTATGCCCACAGCTGCCGCAGCCTCAACCTGTTGAGTTCAGACATCCTTCCACCTCAGTTTTCAAGCAGCTGGGACTACAGGCACGGGCCACCAAGCCCAGCTTATTTTTTTGGATTTATTATAGAGGCAAGGTCTTGCCATGCTGCCCAGGTTGGTCTCAAACCTGTAGGCTCAGGCAGTCCTCTCACCTCTGCCTCCCAAAGTGCTGGGATTACAGGCATGAGCCACTGCGCCTGGCTTACGGTAGTTTAAAAACATTCAGTAATCAAAGAATATGTTATTGGCTTGGCTGTTTTTCCTAGGAATGTAAAAGCATGACTAAATAGATTCTACAATGTGCATTTTACTGAATCAGTCAGTGGAGATATTCATTTACCCAGAAAGTACTGTGTGTATTTCATAAATGTACCTGTTTGTCTTTCAGAATGTTGGCACCACATAAACTTGGTTTATAAGAAGAGACCCCATCAAGTCACATTTTCAAATATGAGGGAGGACCCCAAAAAACCTGAAATTATTTTTTGGAGAGTGGGAGCCTTGTAGTACAGGTTTCCCCTACTAGATTAGTGTTCTAGGAACCCATCGGCATCAGTATACCAGCTAGTGTTGTTAGCTACCTTCAGCTTCAGTGAATTTTTTTTAAGATTCTTTCAAGTGTGTTTGCCGTTACATGATGGGTGATTTACAAATACACCTGCCACACCGTGCTGAGTGTTCAGCAGTTTTTTACCAAAGTGGCATGACCCCCGTGCCCTACCCTCCTTATCCACTGGATCTCACCCAGAGCAACTTTTTTTTTGGTTTCTACGGCTGAAAGAAGTCCTCCAAGGGAAACATTTTGCCAATGTGAAAGAAGTAAGATAAAAAACAGCAGAAGCACTAAAAGGCAGCAACACTGATGAGATCAAAAAAACTGTTTTCAGCAGTGGAAAAAAGCATCTTGATCGGTGTATTGCATCAAATGGAGAGTACTTTGAAAGGGACTGAAGTTTAAACATGTAAAGATATATAGACAATTTTTTATAAATTCCGGGGGTTTTTTTGGTCCTCCCTCATAGAAACTTTTATCACAGTAGTACTGGTCAATTTCAGAAATCTAAATAAAAGCTTATAGTATGACTTAAGAATTCAATGTTTTTCATTTCTTACCTTGTTTCAAGTCTTTTGTACAATACACTGGTATCTGTTCTCAGCACAAAAACTATATGAAACCAGCGTTCAGGGAAGAAATCACAACCATGGTAATCAACAATAACTCCTCCTTCTCTCATTTGGTTATCTAACTCATCAACTACCTGTAAGAAAGATTTTTAAAAATGCTTAAGAAAACTAAGGTCAAGTTTACTATTAAATTTAACAAAGACATACTTTATGGGCTGGGCACAGTGGCTCATGCCTATAATCCCAGCACTTTGAGAGGTGGAAGTGAGGGGATTGCCTTAGTCCAGGAGTTCTAGACCAGCCTGGGCAACTTGGCAAGACCTCGTCTCTACAATAAATAAATTAGCTGGGTATGGTGGCACGTGCCTGTGATTCCAGCTACTTGGAAGGCTGAGGTGGAAGGATCACTTGAGCCCAGCAGGTCAAGGCTGCGGTGACCATGAACCTGAGAGACAGACTAAAAATAAATAAAAAATAATTTTTAAAAAAAAGGCATACTTTGTGAAAAAGTCATACTTACTCTATCTTCATCTAAAATGGGACAGTCATACTCTTCATCATAGCCATCATACAACTGCCCTAAAAGAGATTTAGATTAGCTTGTTAAAATAGTATTTTACAAGTGACTTTCAGTAATTTTCAATGAATTCTAGACTTTAGTCTTTTTAAGAAAGTGTATCATCAATTTTTTTTATATTCAAGGGAAGGCACGAACACAATAAATGTCACAGGGACACCGAATATAAAGAGTAATACTGACTGACAAATTAGAATTCTGTCTAGAGGGAAACTTGAGTAGCAATATATCTAACCCTGTTTTGAGTATTAAAACTAAAAAGAATGCACAGCCAACTTCAGAATTTGCGGGGCTTCAGAAGTTCAAGGCTGCAGTGAGATATGATTGTGCTACAGCTCTCCAGCCTGGGTGACAGAGCAAGACTGTCTCAAAAATAAACAAATAATAAGAGATTCTCATATTAGGATGTAAAATGCTTAAAAAAATATCTTCCTGATTTCTAAAATTGAAAAAATATTATTGGGCTACTAGTAGACAGGGACCACATTATTTTTGTTGAACTACAGAATGGTGGGAAGAGGGGACACTTGGACAGATACCAACATACTCATACACATTAAGAGCAGGTAAAGGGGAGACACCTCTTATCAACAAGGGTGCCTGAACGAAGCATATTTGTATACCTAACCCTTAACTGTACCCCACAATATAATAAAAAATATTGATTATTAAAAAAAAGAAAAGAGTGTAGTTTCTTTTTTTTTTTTGAGTTGGAATCTCACTCTGTCACCCAGACTGGAGCGCAGTGGCCACTCCCGGCCACCGCAGCCTCGACCTGGTGGGCTCCGGCGATCCTTCCGCCTCAGCCTTCCGAGTAGCCAGAATTACATGCATGTGCTACCACGCCCGGCTGATTTTTTGATTTATTGTAGAGATGAGGTCTCCCTGCCCAGGCGGGTCTCGAACCCGCGGGCTCAGGCAATCCACTCATCTCAGCCTCCCAAAGGCACGGGATTACAGGCTGAGCCACCGAGCCCGGCGAAAGTGTACTTTCTATAGTCATGACCTTCACTTTTCTGCTTCCCATTCATTTTTTAGCCCACTACAGTGAGGTTTCTGGTTCCATTATGACTCTAAAAATTGTCTAAGGTCACCAATGACTTCCCAGTTCACAATTCAAATGCACCCTTTGAGTAACTTTTGCACTTAATATTTCTAGGGATAATTAGTTTGGACTGAATCCACTTAATTTATATATGTGTTTTTTCTCTCATATCAAATGATATATGTGCATCACAGAAATTTTATAAAATAAAATATGAATTGTTTATTAAAAAAAAAAAGGAAGGTTAAATTCCAGATTTATGAGGCCAAGGATATGAAACTTATCAAAAACAACAACAGGTTCTTTTGTTGTTGTAGTTGAGTAGAAGTCTCACTCTGTCACCCAGGCTGGAGTGAAGTGGCATACTCGTGGCCACTGCAGCCTTGACTTACTGAGCTCGGGTGACCCTTCCACCTCAGTCTTCCAGGAAACTGGAATTACAGGCTTGTGTCACCACGTGTGGCGAATTTTTTTTGATTTACTGTAGAGATGAGGTTTTGTCAAGTTGCCCAGGCTGGTCTCAAACCCGTGGGCTCAGGCAATCCTCTCGCCTCCACCTCCAAAGTGCTACGACTACAGGCGTGAGCCACTGTGCCCGGCAACAACAGGCTCTTTATTTCAGAAATGAACCCTGTCATGGAGCTCACATCTCAGGTACTGGGAAGAAGGGTTAGTATGCAGATGCTCCCGAATGGCATCTTTACTTCAGACCATTCCTCACTTATTTCAGAAGGGAAAACGGAAACAATGGGCTGAATGATAAAGAAGGCAGATTTAAACTTAGCATAGTAACTTTCCAACACATCACAACTGGCCTTCAAAGGAAGTCTAACTGTAGGAGGTGAGACATCTCACCCTCACCCCAAGCCCCCGGGAGGTGTGGAATCTAAGGCAGGTTTACAGCATCCTTCAATCATTTCTGAGAACATTTTCTGTCTTGCCACCTCTTTCCCCTTAATATTTTGGTACAGGTTGAAATTAGGTCAAAAGGAACATGAGTTCTGAAGGGTCAAAAGGGTGGTCTGAGAGTCAGTGGAAGGCAGAGGCAGTTGGAACTCATCTTGCCTGGAGGGTCTGTGGACTGATTCTGAGCACACGAGCCCTAGACCCTAGTGTGGCCTCTGCCTCCTTGGGCTAGTGCTCACTTCCCAGAAACTCTATCAGCCTCCACAATTAAACTATTTTTGGTGTGGGGAAAGCTAGTTGACAATTTAGAAAACAATCTGAATTCTTATTTTGTACTGCAACTCCAGAGCTAATTTCTTAATTGCAAAGAAAGCTGGTAGAAAATTAATCTATAAAGAAATGATTTGTTTGTTTGCTGAGTAATAGAATAAAGACTAATTCAATCACTTAAAATGCAGAATCTCTGTTAAATGAGAAATAAAACTCAAGAAAAATAATAGATTGGAAGATGTATTTGTAGTATGACAGAGGACTGAAATGTAGATTATATAAAGACCTTATTGGCAAGGAGTGAAAGTTTAAAAAAATAAAAATTTTTTAAAAACTTTAAAAATCAAAGTAACAATAAGTAGCTCAATAAACAAGAATTCACAGAGGATAAAAAAGTGGAAAAGGCAATCAGTAAACACACATGAAAAATGTTGGACTTTCCTAGCTATTAACGAGAAGCAAATTAAAATGAGCCTTTTAAGCCAGGCATGGTGGCTCACTCCTGTAATTCCAGTACTTTTTGGGAGGCAGAGACGAGAGGATTGCTTGAGGTCGGGGGTTTGAGAGCAGCCTGGGCAACCTGGAGAGACCTCGTCTTTATAATAAATTAAAAAATTAGCCAGGCATGGTGGCATGCGCCTGTGGATCCAGCTTCTTGGAAGGCAGAGGTGGAAGGATCACCCGAACCCGGCAGGTGGAGGTTGCGGTGGCCGTGAGCATGCCAATGCACTCCTGTCTGGGTGACAGAGTGAGACTCCAACTCAAAAAAATAAATGAGTCGATTTATATTTGTTAAACATCATATATATTCAGAGATTTCCTTTACCATTTAATTTTTTATCTTTTTTGAGTTGGAGTCTCACTGTTGCCCAGGCTAGAGTGCAGTGGCATGCTCACAGCCACCGCAGCCTCAACCTGCTGGGCTCAGGTGATCCTTCTGGCTCAGCCTTCCAAGTAGCTGCAACCACAGGTATGTGCCACCACACCCAACTAATTTTTTTTTCTAATCTATTGTAGAGACAAGATCTCACCATGTTGCTCAGGCTGGCCTTGAACTCAGGTAATCCTCTTGCCCCTGCCTCCCAAAGTGTTGGGATTACAGGCGAGAGTCACCATGCCCGGTCTTTTTTTTTTTTTTTTTTTGAGAGACAGGATCTCACTGTGTTGCTCAGGCTGGAATGCAATGATGTGACCACAGCTCACTACAACCTCAACATTCTGGGTTCAAGCAATCCTCCCACCTCGGCCTCCTACCAAGTAGCCAGGACTACAGGTGTATACCACTGTACCAAGTCAATCACAAAAAATTTTTTTTGTAGACATGGGGTCTCTCTTGGGATTGTCCACACTGGCCTTGAACTCCTGGGGTCAAATGATCTTCCTATCTCAGCCCTCCCAAAGTGCTGTGATTACAGGTATGAGTCATCATGCCCTGCCTCCATTTAATTTCTAATTGGACTAAATTATGATAAAAAATGTCCAAAAATAAGGAAATAGGCCGTGTGCAGTGGCTTATGCCTGTAATCCCAGCACTTTGGGAGACCGAGATGGGAGAAGCACTTGAGCCCAGGAGTTGGAGACCAGCCTGGGCAACTTGATGAGACTTCATCTCAAAAATAAATAAACAAAATAAGCTGGGCCTGGCAGTGTATGCCTGTAGTTCCAGCTACTTGGAAGGCTGAGGCAGAAGGATCACCTGAGCCCAGCAGGTAAAGGGGTGGCCTGGTTGACAGAGTGAGACTCCAACTCAAAAAAAAGAAAAAGGAAATAGCAAAATGACAAAAGTTCATGTATAAAAGCATAAAACATAAAAAGCAGAATTCAAAGTTGTCTATATTAGGGACAAAGATTAGAAGAAAAACAAAAGGTGAAAATAAATTAGGATTTGGGGTGTTTCTCCATGTATTATTTTTACAATATAACACAAAATCTAAGAATACCTAGAACTGATTCCATACTATGTGGTAATGTGAGTAGATAAACACTGAGGTTTCTTCAAATTTTAAATCCTTGGATTTTTAAAGACTACTGATGGCCAGTCTTGGTGGCTCAGCCTGTAATCCTGGACTTTGGGAGACCGAGGAGAGTGGAATGCCTGAGCCCGCGGGTTCGAGACCAGCCCGGGCAACTTGGTGAGAGCTTGTCTCTACAATAAAATAAAAATCAGCCGGGCGTGGTAGCACACGCCTGTAGTTCCGGCTACTTGGAAGGCTGAGGCAGAAGGATCGCCGGAGCCCAGCAGGTTGACACAGGGGTGGCAGTGAACGTGAGTGCTACTGCACTCCAGCCTGGGCAAAGGAAGTCAACTCAAAAAAAGACTACTGACATCTTTAAATATATATACTGTCTAAAATAGACATCTATAGCAACATTAACTTTTATAATTAAAATCTTTGTACTGTAGTGCTGAAATGTAGAATTTAAATCATGTTAAGTTTTAATAAAATAGTAATACAAACTTTTAAACATTCATTTAAAAAAATTTATCAAACACCATGTACCAATAACCAAAGGGATGAGGATATATGAGTGAGCAAAGTGGACAAGACAAACTCCCTCAGAGAGTTTAAAATACAATGGGAGAATACAGACAAGTTATCTGAAAATTACAATTATTTGTTTATTTAAAATAGAGACGAGGTGTTGCTATGTTGCCTAGGCTGGTCTCAAACTCCTGGACTCAAGCAATCCTCCCACCTCAGCATCCAAAAGTGCTGGGATTACAGTATGAGCCACTGCACCTGGCTGAAAATGACAATATTGCGGCTCATGTTGCTTTGG